AAGCCGCGGCTCCGTCCCGTGCCCCACCCCACCACGGCTGGGCAGTGCCTGCCCCTGCCCCAACCCCACTCCCTCCCTTACTGTAGGGACCTCGATCTGCCCTCCCTTCTCTTCCCTTCCCCTACCCCTTCCACCCCAGCAGACTTACCAGCTGGACACTGCTGGGCTGTGCCAGGCTGTGTTTCAGAAATCGGATCCGTATCGGCCGATATGCTTCCTTAAAAATCGTCTATTGTATCAGCCCCAAAAATCTCTATGGGTGCACTCCTAGGTCTGGCCAGCAGCTAAGTGTTTCCTGGGAGGACTAAGCTTCCATGTCTGCCAGCTCACACTCCTGTGGTGTGTGCCATGCCGCTTTTTTGCAGCATTTTTTTTTTTTTTTGCTATAGAAATTTCCCAATAGCAGATTTTGCCCCCATGCTGCAAATTTGTGGTGGGCATGTTTTAACATGCCAGGCATGCAGTTTCTGGGTCTGCAAAGTAGTTTGCATTGTCACAGACTGCACATGCGTGCACATCTGGCTCCAGCCATTCTGTTCAATTTGTTTTTCTTTATGTACATTTAATATAGTTTTATATATTAAAAGCGTTTTTAAATGCTGCTTTGTGAATTTGTAATTGAATTCCAGTTTCTGTTGAAATGCATCTTGATACAAAGCACAAGTAAAATAATAAATCATCTAATAAATAAGAAACATGTCTCACCATTTGCTAAAATAATACAAAATATAAAAATCAACAAACAGAATAAACATATGTAAAACTGTATGGTTGCCTAGCTAATTACATGTATTTGTTATATGTTATCTCCTGGTTGGTAAAAGATAAAAAAAAAAAAAGTATCAACCAGATATAATCTTATTTAGAAAAATAAATAAAATGTAGAAATGTGCAAAACAAGATTTAAGTTGATTATTTGAATCAGGGTTTCCTGCTTACTCATTTAAATCATAATTAAAATTTAATCACTTTAAATCACTTCATCCTGCCTTTCATATATCTTCCTCCTGCCAGCCCACACACTGAGGGAAGTCCTCATGATGAAAGTAGTGCATGTCTTACAATACTGTTATGATACTAAAAGTAAAAATCAGAGCATTTTTCTCTATTTCCGTTTCATAAAGCAAGCTGTTTGAAAGGTTCCCTTTCAGACTGAGGAAAGGCAGCTTTTAAATGAGGCTTGCTGTACTCTGGAAGCGAAAAGTTTCTTTGTTCAGGTTGTCACAATCATAGTGAAAAATTCCTTTGGCAAAGAAGAAAGTGTGATGGTGATAGTTTTATAAAAGAGCTATCTTCACACATTTTAAATCTTTAATTTGAAAATTCTCTTTGCCTGTAAATTTTAACATTGTTTCCTCTTTATGTTCAAGTATTTGTGTAAGCATTTTGGAACTTCACCAAAGATGATTGCATATTGAAGCTGCTCTACTGCATTTTCTCACTGTTGTTTTGTTTGCTTAAAAAAGACTAACTGGTTTCTAAACCTACAGCATAAATGACAAAGCAATGTATGTGGCCTTCATTGTGTTTTATCTTTGTGTAACGCCAGGTCACACAGAAAAGCAAAGTTCGGTGGGCGGGTACACGAACGCGTGGGAAATGGAGATACTCAAGTAATGACGAAAGCGAGGAATCCGAGAACGAAGAAAACACAGAGGAGGGCTCAGTAGAGGAGGAGGAAGAGGAAGAAGAGGAACCTGCACCTGCAGATGATGATGAACCATGCAAGAAGTGTGGCCTTCCCAATCATCCTGAGCTAGTACGTTACTGATCTACAAAACATTTTAACAGGAAAAAGCTGCAGTTCAGTGCCCTGGCAGTGCTGCTTTTTTATGCTAGTATCATTTAAAACAATCACTTGCTTCTGCTACAAGAGCTTTCTTCTGAAATGGAGTGGTGTTTTTGAAGAACTGTGCCCATTGGAAGGGGAGATGGGACAGGGTTAATAGGTAGTAGCAGTCAAGAGACATGATCAGGACTGCAATGCTTGTACTAGGGTGCCTGCTGCACACAGTTGTGTAATGTCTTGGCTCCATCCTCAGTCTTGGAGGCAAGCTGGAGAATGCCCCTCTCTGCATTCCCTCACGTCCCTTCTCCCACCCGCATCCAACCCCACTCTTGCTAATTATGTTGATATTAGGCTGAGGAGGAGATGCCAGTGATCTGAATCCAGCTCGATCTCTTCAGCCGCCTACAACAAATTTCTGCCTTGCTCTCCCCAGCTCTGAGTCTGGTACTGGCAAGAGTGCTAGGAGAAAAGTGCTTGAAGAAAGATCATTTAAGGCACCTAGGACTACATTTTCAGAATATAGCAATATGTGGTTACCTGTTTCAAGCAAAGCTTGTTTGTTTAAATTGTAGTTTTCAGTGTTCAGCAGCTGCAAATCAGAAGCTCATGTTGAATGGATGCTTTATCAACAAACTGTATAGACTTCTAAGTGCAGTGTATGGCATAATTCCCTTGACCTTTGCATAAGGTGATGTTTTTTAAGTTTAAATCATAGGTTTGCATCCCTGTGGCCTGGGCTTTAGATAGATATAGAGGGCGAGATTTAATATACATATTATTTGGTTAGTCTATAAAGGTGCATGTCTGCCCTGCCTTTCAATCTGGAAGATTCCCGAGTTACACTGAGCCAGGGAAGTTTTGTTGTCAAACCATTTATCTTATCTTGCTCCTAATTCAAAAACAGTTTTAAAAATATTCAAACTGGTTTTAGTTTTGTGGGGGTTTTTTAAGAGTGACTAGGTGAGAAGTTTGTAAAAGTTCTTTCTTATTCAGTTTCACTGTGTCTTTGCAGTAAAAATAAATGTTCTAGCCCCCCCAAAACTATAACTGAAGAACATTAAGGTTGCAAAATCAAGTGCTTAGAAGTTAGGAGATGCCAGAATGCAAGTTGTGTGTACAAGTAGCTGGTGAAGATGATGTGTGTCAGGGGTTGGACTAAATGACTCTCCAGATCTCTTCTTACCATATGATTCTGAGTGTATCTTACAAACAGAGCTCTCTTTTGAACTGGTGTGTGTTCTTATGCAGTAAGTTATCTAAGGATCATCACTTACAAGTTTCCAGTTACGAGTTTGTTTTTTTCAATATTGTAGAATGCTAAATATTATAGTATTATAAATGGAGTGCAAATCAAGGAAGAGGAGTATTTCTTGAATATCAGGAAAGATGTTGACATAGAAATTCATTGACATGTTGCATTATCTGCACGTGGAAGTGTTGAAAACCCCATTTTTTGAGGCACTTGCCGTTAACTTGAATGTAGGACTAAGTAGTATGCTGTAGAGCAGTGGTGTCAAACATACAGCCTTTGGGCCAGATCCAGCCCACAGAGTTGCTTCATGGGGCTTGCCATGCTACCGGTGGGCCAGGGAATAAGGGGGAGTGGCTAGCAGTGGGGAGTGGACCGCCAGGGAATCTGGTGGACATGACCGCTGGTGGCAGGGGAACTAACAAGGGCTGTGCAGCAATTCCCTCTGTTGCCCTGTGGCCATCTGGCTCTCTATCACTTGCAAGCCTCTGGCATGATGAGCAGCTGACTGGCCTGTAGTTGCCTGCATTACTGCTGCTGCAGTGGCTGCTACCACCACCCCATACCTAGGCCAGATCTGGCCTGCAGGGAGCCCTGTTGTCCAGATCTAGGCTGAGGTCCAAGGTGAGTTTGACACCCCTGCTCTAGAGAATGAACCAGGAGGTCTCCTTTATTTCCAGTTTCTGCAATTCTGATTTCCCAGTAGTTGTCATTGATCTTGAACACCTGTATATGTCTAGCAAATCATAACCCTCCATCATAACACTGATCCACACACTAAGCATTCTTTTATTTATACGACAGATATGCAAGCATAGTTGATATTACTTCAGTAGTTCCTTGGGTGGACTGTATACCACTATGTCCACTGTATTCCAGTGGACACACACACAGCATTGTCAGCTCCTACGTAATGCAGCAGAGGCATCTCGAGTTTACCCAGTTGAATCAGTTTGCATTGTAACAAATGCCTAATTCCACATCGCATTGAGTCTGTGAGCAGTCCAGGATGGTGCACTGCTGCATGTGTACAGACGATCAAAAATAAATCTAGAGTGAAGGCTGCAAATCCTGGTACATAACAAAATAACAAATGTCTCCCTTTTTGGAAACACTTCCAGGAGTAAGTGGTTTTGGAGGTTCTTGGGGTTTGCATAGTTTAAAGTGCTTATGTAAAGCCTTCGACACTGTCTGGAAAGTATCTCTAGTACTTCTTGCCCATTGGCATCAACGATCCCGTGTCCAAAGTGATAGCAATCTCTTACTTTCTTTCTGCAGATACTGTTGTGTGACTCTTGTGACAGCGGATACCACACAGCCTGCCTTCGCCCCCCACTGATGATAATCCCAGATGGAGAATGGTTCTGTCCACCTTGCCAGCATGTACGGTTTCTTGTTGACTTTTGTCTTTCATCTTCTTCATTCCCTGCTCGATGTTGTGATTCACTGGGAGACCAGCACCATTTTTCTCAATTAAGAATTAAACCATGGCTTGGACTGTAGTGCATTAAACTGAATTCTGTAGGAAGATAACCTTTACCTCATGCCTTTCTTAATAGATGACTATCACATTGCTAATGTGTAGACAGGAGAGTTCAGCAGAGTCAGTTTCTGTCAACCTTTTGAAAAGGTTACCTCAAAAATACTGTAGAATTGGAATCATTTAAGTCTACTTGATTTTTTCCTGGTAGTGTTGTAGCCGTGATGGTCCCTGGAAAATTCAAGAAGCACAGGGTTTTTTTTATATCTTTTATTGGAATAGCCTTAGATTTGGGAGAGATGATAGACAAGCTTTTGTGCATAAAATGCTCTTCCTCAGGTTCATGAAAAGCAGATACATCCCATGCTAGATACCAGGTAGAACAATTACTTTTGTTGAATGCTTTTATGTTAATAAAATTGATCTTTTAAAAAGGAGAGTGGTCAGTAAAGCTGTGGAGCAAAAATAAGTTAGCAAAAGTATTTACAGACCAGGGAAAAACAGTTGCTTTAGATAAACCTAATGTAAAAGAGCTATACTACTCCAAAGGTAAGAGTGGCTATCATAGCAGAGCTGAGAGACATTAACAGAGGGAGCTGGTGAGTTATAATGGGTTAGAAAACTGTTGTCTGTGTTAAATCCACATTTTTTGAGGTTCAGCAAAATGATGATTTTTGTTCCCAGGCCTGTCTTGCTCTCCAAATGGAACAAGACCCTGGCTAAGTAACAAAAGCAAAACCTGCCAACGCTGCTCCATTACCACCACAATCAACACACCCCATGGCAACATTGTCAGAATCTGTGCATCTTACAGAGGCCCATCACAAGTGCTACGCACCAGTTGCCCTCATGGAAACTATATAGATGAAACTGTACAGTTGCTATGATGCAGGGTGAACTCTTGTAGAAAAATGATAAAGGATAGAAATAGCAGTGGGAGAGAGAACAGCCACTCTATCTCCAACCTCACAGACTTGTCCTCAGATGAAACCTGTGTTGTATCATCAGAAGATGAGCCTGGGAACAAAAGTTCAGAACTTTGCTGGACACCAAAACTGGATACATTGACAGTGAATTTATGCCCTCTCTACTAACCCCTCTGTTCTTTACATGTGATAACAGCCCTCTTCCCTTAAATAATATTATTCTTTACATAATTTAGTTTACCTATAGGAACTGGACTTCTTTTTATTTGGTCTGGTTTGTAAGCAAACAGATTCACAGAAGTTTAGGGCTGGAAGGGACCTCGTGAGATTATTGAGTCCAGCCCCCCTTCTGTGGGCAGGAAAGACTGCTGCAGTCAAATAACCCCAGCAAGGTGTGTGTCCAGTCTCCTTTTGAAGATCTCCAGAGTAGGCAAGTACTCACTCTTTGCTTCACAAGTTTATTGTTCATTTCCCTTTCTAAGTGATCAGTTTCATTAACATAATAGTATTAAACAAAAGTAACGGTTCTAGCTGGTATTCAGTTTAGACTGTATTTGTTTCTTTCCCAGAACTGTAGAAGGGCAATTTTTGTCCAAAAGTTTCTCTTAACCTATTTCTCAAGTATAAAGTTAGTTCAATAAAAGGTATTACATCTGGCTTCTTTAATTTTTCCTATATAAAAGAATGAATACTGTCAGCTGGGCTGGTGGGGAAATGTATCATCGTCCAAAGGAAGCAGGAGCTCTGCTTGAATATCCCTTCTGGTTCCACACATACTTGCCTGCAACCTAGCCAGTTGTCTGTTGTAATCCAACAGGAGCATGATCTTACTGTGCCTGTTGCTCTCTGCTGAGAGTGCTGTCAATGTCAGCAGCAGGCAAGTGGCAGTGCTTCCTCTGATATGGCTCTCTGTAACCACAAAACATTTCAGTGCAAATGTATAGCTTAATTTGAAATAAATTTATTAAAATGGCAAGTTCTGCCTTGTAGAGTCTTGGCATAGTATGGGCCAGACCACATCTAATGCCATTTTTGCTGCATTATTTCGGGAAGGCTTATGTACAGTTCAGAAGCAGTCTTGTAGATCTTCTATCCCAGCTCTGATTCCAAAACACATCACAGTGTGTAAGTAATGCTCTTTAGTGCGTGGTGCTGTCAGTACTATGGCATTAGCATCTCTGAAACCGTCTAGTTCCCCTCAGTTAGAAGGCTTCTAAGGGTGGCTCTAGACATTATTCCACTTGCAGCATTGTTTTCCTTGTGTGGTGAAGACATTGCACCATGTGAACAGCTTCACATGCACAGGGCAGTCTGTCAGGAGAAAGGAAAAAGGAATAACAGCTTGCACTGCTGCTGCTGACCATCTAGGGGAGCTTTCCCTGGTCAGCAGCACCACTGAAAGAATTAGATGACAACTAAGGAGTCATCCCCCAGGACCCCCATGGGTTCCCCAAAAAGCAAGCTGGGGAGGAAGGGAAATCCTCCCCCCAGTTTTTCCCCCTAACCTCGCATGGAGCCAGGGACACCCTGCTGGGCTGGGTCTAAAGCAGAGCCTGGGTCTTCCAGAGAGCAGCAAGCTGGGGGTGGGCAGGATTCTCCCCCCCCTTCCCTCCCACTGCCCCTTAAGTGTGCAGGGAGCTGGCACAGCCCTGACTGCTGGGAAGCAGCAAGCGTGGGGAGGGATTCCCTCCATGTGCTTGTTGGGTAACGATGGGGTTTGTCCCCCAATCCCTCTTGCTGCTGCTCAGGAGACCTGGGATCTGCTCCAGCTGTGCAGGGTATCCCTGGCTCCCTGCACAAGTAGGGGACAGTGAGGGGGAAATCCTCTTCCCCAGCTTGCTGTTGTTTGGGAGACCCAGGCTCTGCTCCAGCCTGGCAAGGTGACCCAGGCACCTTTGCAAGGCTGGGGAGAATACTGGGGAGAGGAATCCACCCCCCCCCCCTTGCTTTCTGGGAAGGCCCTGGGTCTCTGCTGGGCTGTGCGTATTTTCCACTGCCTGCACTTGTGTGGGGAAGGATGAGGGGTGCCCCCACTTGTTGCTGCCCGGGGTGCTCCAGCATGGCAGGGGTGTCCCTGCTCATCTACTCTCTGCTTGCATGGGGTGGGGGTGGTATTTGTAATGCTGGGTCCTGCTGGGTAGGGGGGGATGAACCTAGGCCTTTGATTATAACTATGCTGGGATAGGCATTTTCTCCTCGTTCTTTTTCAGAGAAGTTTACACTGGAGGTGGAGCAATGCACCCTGGGATGCCAGAGGACCAGCAGATTGCCATCACACGATATATTTCTTGCTACACCTGCAAATTAAAGCTGGGTAGCAACCGGCTGTAAAGTTAATATACTTTTTTGAGGTCTAACTTTGTAGCTGGTTGAAGCTTTTAATAGCGTGATAGGTGCTTTGCACATGTAGCTGATCTCAGTTAATTGTGCAGTTAACCAGTTAATTTCACGGTAACTGTGACATGTATAGGGGGCCTAATGGTCGCTGATGGGGGTGCTGTTAGAAGCCTTGAAAATAAAGGGAGATAGCAGCTGTAAAATCCACTGGCTCCTGTCATTTTCAAGGCTTCTAACAACAGCTCATTGACAGCTGTTTCACTTTAACTCTTTCCGGCTCAGCTGAAGGGAGTGAAAGAGGTTATGTATTAGGTGGTTTATGTATTACCAATATGAAGATTACTGCATTTTGTTACAACATAAACGATAGATAACACATTGGGACTTTCCTTGTGTTTTGTAGTTGAGCAAGTAATGCAGTTATCCAGTGTGCAGAGACATTCAGTGAACTGTATACGTATTCATTTACACACACACACACACACACACACACACACACACACACACAGAACTGAGGATTAGTGTGTGTGTGTTTGTCTCAATATTTGTGAATTTTAACTTAATCCACATTTTCTTTGAAATTTGTGAGGCTAGACAGAAAGTAAACTGGAAATAATTGGGAAGAATGTTCATTCTGAAGACTTGTGTGTTATAATTGCTCTAGGCAGGAAGCATTTGACAGTAGACACCTGTTACTAGGTTTCTGTACTTCTGTGGGAAGATGATTGCAGTTTTTATAAAAGTACCTAAAATTGAAGAAAACTGACCCCTGCTTTGTTCCTGAAATATGCTCCTTCAGCCTAAGAAGTATGTTGTTGCTATGCTACTGGATCTCTGGCAGAGATTAAATGAATACAATACTTTAACTTCTTTAAAGGGAGAGAGGCAAGGATTCTTGGTGATATCTTTTATTGGATCACCTGTATAGTTGGGAGAGCTGTTAGACAAGGCTTTGGGCATCAAGTGCCCTTCTTCAGGGTTGAGCCTCTCAGACATCTCTTGGACCATCATGGCTACAACATTTCAGCCCTTCTTAAAAGGAAAGAAAAAATTATCCTTTTACCTATCACTGTGGTAAATGTGAAAACAACAAATGAATATTTTGAATAAATGTATTACATGAGGGTATTTGCTTATGAGAGAAACTAATACCATGTATTATCTCCCCAGAAATTACTCTGTGAGAAATTAGAAGAACAGCTGCAGGATCTGGATGTTGTCTTAAAAAAGAAGGAGCGTGCGGAGCGAAGGTATGGACCCTTAATTGGTTGTGTTCACAAACAACTCGCAGCAAGTTGCTAGGTAATTGCAGTAGTAATTGATCAAACTTTAAAAGAAGCTGAAAACGTATTAATGAGATCTTGCATCGGTAAGGCTATTTTGATCAATACTCAGGGACTTCTCATTAATCAGAGAATTTGTTCCTGGCACCAAAACTGGAGGCTTACAAGAGGTGAGACAGAAGCCCAATAATTAAAAAGATGAAGCAATGTATTTGTATTAAGGCTTGGTCACAGTGTCTGGACAGAGTTTCATTCTTCCTGTACTTGCAACTAAATGGTTTTCAGCACTGGCTCAGTTGTACCACTTGTCAATACCCTTGGTCAGCAATGTGTAAATCTCCTAGTGTAAGCAAGTTCTAAGTCATTTGACTTTGCCACCAAAGTCTCTTCCATTAATGTGCGTTACAGACTCTTCTTGCCTAATATTAGTTTTAAACTTTGTTTGCGCTCTACAGTTGCATGCTTACAGGCTGCAGGAAGTAAGAACAGCTGTAACTTAATAGAGCAACGTGTGCATTGTAGCCATTGTCCTAGAATGATAGTAAAGTAGGGCTGGATGGTTACTGTTAGTGTAAACCTGTTCTCTATGCTTGCAAATAGCATTTCCCCAGCGGTTTCAGAGAATTGTGGGTACCTATCCCCCAATTGCCAGCATAGATATCTGAAACAGATTTCATAGTTATAATCTATCATTTGGAGAAATGCAGCATTTTTAACAAAGGAATTCATAGAATCATAGAAAATGAAGGTTGGAAGGGACCTCAGGAGGTCACATCTAGCCTAACCCCCTGCCCAAAGCAGGACCGTCCCCAACTAGATCATCCCAGCCAAGGCTTTGTCTGCTAGCCTGGTCTTGAAAACCTCTAAGGATGGAGATTCCACCACCTCTCTGGGTAACCTGTTCCAGTGCTTTACTACCTTCGTCGTGAGAAATTTTTTCCTAATATCTATCCTAAACTTAAATATCGTGTAAGTTAGCATTGTTTTGATGTATAGAATGTGTTTTATACAATTAAATGTTAATTCTGCTGAGTATTTTTAAACAAAGATCACATAAACTACATCCACTACAACAGGCTGCCTTGGATTACATGTCATAAACAGAAACTGCTCAAAACAAATGAATTGGGAGTACAGGGAACATAGGTGTATTGTACACACAATACAAAGGAAGGACGTGTGTATTGTAGGACTGTGCTAGGAAGACCACGCCCAACATTGAAACTTCAGTGTTAACTCTGGTCATTGTTCACCCTAAGCTTCCTTAAAGTGTCTTTCTTGTGTGCTATCACTGGTGTAGCTCTGGCAGAGGAAGCTGTGGGGGTGCTAGTGTAGACCA